GACACAAAGAACCACCAACGCACCATTTCTGTTCTCAAACTGTTCTCCCATTAGGAGCTCAGTCTTAGTGGAGTTTTTTTTCTTCTCTTCTGACCTCATGTTATGTATTTTTGTTGTTTTTTCCTATTAGCTTACCTCTCTGACATGTCTTCCCAATGTGATGTTTGAGTAAAGCTTGGTCAGAAGGTTCCTTTGTAAGTGTGCATGCGCCATTAGCGAGCTGCCTGCTGTAACCTTTAAAATCCTTTGGGATAAATAAAGTATTCTTTTTCTGATTCTGATTAAGAAAAATAATTAAATAAAGCAGTGGGGGTCGCACTGTTGACTAGAGCATATGTATCCAGTAAGGGTCCCCAGGCTAGGCCCCTCTAATTCCCATGCCTATCTCGGATATGTGTGAGATATATATAACTGAAGCCAGGCTTGGATATTGTCTGGGTTAACAAGTTACATGTCAGGTGTCCTGGTGTCCTGGCTACTGGAACAAGTAAGCATAAAGGGGTCAAGGAATGAGAATAGGAAGATATAACATGAAGAGTATGTGGGACCCATGGAATCTTTAACACCTGGCAAGGGGGAGCCAGGATGTCAAGTAAGCGGGGCGATGTCATTATCCCCACCCTCTGAGATTGGGTACCAAGTCCCAAGAACATCTGGGCATTGAAGGTGTTGAGTGTGAGAGCAGGATTATAACTAAGCTGGAAACCTGGGCCCTCCATGGCTGATTACCAAGACTGTAGGAAGTGTCCTTTGAAGGTCTACAAAAAAATCCTACAGCGACCATCACCAAAACCAACCAGTTAATCTACACCACGGCAGCAGTGATCACTGAGATGCTTGGCTACAAGATCAACAGCCACAACGAGCGGTACCCTCCATGGAGTAAGAGACTAGAGGCCAAGATAAAGGCAACACAAAGGGAAGTTAGCCAACTACTAGTGCTGCAGAAAGGTGTGATGAAGACAGGGATGCCTAAGAAGTATAGCAAGCTTCCCATACCTGAGGCCTTAGTCTTTACTTGGTCTTTGAAGTCTTTGCTTGGCAAGTTCTGAGTTCAAAATGGGATACATCCCCAAAGGTGGTTGAGAATGACGACCAGAGATCCTGTGGCTAACCAGCTGGACATGGTGTCTGTCTGTGTGAATGGTTAGATTGCTTTATTTTCACTGAAAGGGACAGCATATAATACTTATTGTATTTTTAGCATATGACAGTAAAAAGATTATCTCAGCCTCATGTGTCCCAAGACAAATCCTTCACAATGTCTGCTTTCCTTTGACTGATTTTTAACAAACTTCGTTATTTCATAACTTATTTGCTCTTCTTTGTTTTTCATCACGATTTCATAGTTGCTGTGCATGCTATTAATTGCACATAAATGCACTGAAATTTCGTTCTAACCTGCAGTAACCGGTGTATGCACTAAATGATAATAAGTTGGCTATTCTATTCTATTCTATTCTATTGTAGTATAAGGCCCTTACCAGCCACTTGTGGTACTGTACCTTTAATTGCTGTTCATTGTGGGATAACGTATTTATTCTTCTATAGCTCAATTACCTTTATGATGTTCCATCCATTCATTCTCTTCCACTTATCCTTTATAATGTGTATTTTTTATTATTAATGTACTAACAAACATGACCGTGAGAGGCCACAGTGGGTAGGTAGGTGTCCGTTGACATGCACTCACTTTGGTCTTCCATGAGATAAATATGACTCAACAGCTATGAGTGCTCCACAGTTTTTAACTTTCCATTTACAGTGATTGCCATTTTTGTTTTCTGTCCTTAGTATTTAGGATAAATCCCTGACTTCCATTGTTTCTTCAATCTCAGACTTTCTGAATGTTGGCTGTCAGAGACTCACTACAAAGTTGTGGCCTCTGCCCTGAAGTCTGACCCCTCCCACCTGACGGAGCTTGACCTGACAGGAAGTAAACTGCAGGATTCAAGACTGAAGCAGCTGTCTACTGGACTGGAGAGTCCAAACTGTCGACTTAAAACACTGGTGTTAGTTTAATTTTTGCCTTTTGAACCTCATAAATCACAACTTTTAGTCACAAATAACTTTTTAGTGGTGATTTGGGGCTGTGTGGAAACCTGTGTTTACGACTTTCAAGTTTAAAACATAGTGTATCCAGAAAGTATTCACAGTGCTTCACTTGCACATTTTGTCATCTTACATTCCAAAAGTGATTAAATTCATTTTTTCACCTCAAAATTCTATATACTTTGTTGAAGCACCTTTGGCAGCAATTACAGCCTCAGGCCCTCTTGGGTATAATGTTACAAGCTTGGTGTAGCAGATTTCAAATGGTTGACTGCGTTGTGACGACAGACACAGACTGGCTGGAAACTGGATTTATTTCTAAAAGACAAAGTGCAGCAGCAAAATCAGTGTCACTCAGCAACAGCAGGCCTCTCCTCATCCCAGTGTGGAGTCCATGCAGCTCTGCTTACAATATATAAAAGAAAATACAATCTATCAAAACAACGGTGTGGATTCTCCCAACAGCCACTTTAAAATCAAATGTTATAGTGGGGTAAAACAGAGACAAATATGAAGCCACTAATAATAACTTGTAATATTTAAATCCCCACTAAGATGGATCAATTACACAATACATATTCAAACAACTTTAACTTTTCTCAACATGGCTGAAAATACTATTCAGTGTGCAGCCTCAGGTCATGAACTCATTATACACATAAAACAAAACCTATACATTTACTTTACAAGACAAAGTGCAGCAGCAAAATCAGTGTCACACAGCAACAGCAGGCCTCTCCTCATCCCTGTTTAGCACATAAACGGATGGTGTAACAGATAAAATGAAGTTCCAATTACTATTTGTCTCGTTCAAAGCAATCAAAAACACTTTGGGAGCTTTTAGCCATAAGAACTAATACTTAGCAAAGAAAAATACAACAAATCTAAATGTACAATTTAGTACAGGGAGAGGAGCTACAGAAAGTGTGCCTCACCAGTGTGGAGTCCATGCAGCTCTGGCTGGGAAACCCCACACATGCAACATGTTTACAAGTGGCATCACACTGATTAATGCCCCACTTCAACAGTGACACATGGAACCTTAGTTTTACAAAAATTTAATTTACACAATAAAAAATAAATAAACTGTATACAGTTTATTTATTTTTTATTGTGTAAATAAAATAAAATAAAATAAATAAACTGTATACAGGGCAGCACGGTGGCACGGTGGTTAGCACTGTTGCCGCACAGCAAGAAGGTCCTGAGTTCAATTCCACCATCAGGCCGGGGTCTTTCTGTGTGGAGTTTGCATGTTCTTCCCGTGTTTGCGTGGGTTCTCTCCGGGTACTCCGGCTTCCTCCCACCGTCCAAAGACATGCAGCTTGTGGGGATAGGTTAATTGATTAATCCAGCAGCAATGTAGCCATTGCTGCAGAAAAACCACAGAAATATCGAAAACATGATGTTTCCACAACCGGCACGTTGTTGTTGCTGTCATTGCTGCTGCTGCTCGTCTCCTCCCACACTCTACTTCTGAGTCTTGGCGTGCTGCTTAAACAGGGAAGGCATGATTGAACAATGGTTACTAGCTCTTGACCTCCCTTGATCATCCTTGCTCAGTACACTTACTCAAATGATATCCTCGGTGTCACAGGGAAGCTGAGAGCTGCTACCTGGGCCCACTCCCACCGGCAAGGGCAACAGCCGCAGCAACCACTGTGTGGGTGGCTGCCAGGTGATGTTGCCACCACCAGCACATTGTTGCTGTCATTGCTGCTGCTGGTTCTCTCCTCCAACTCTCCACTCATTTGAGTCCCGACGTACTGCTTAAATAGGGCAGGCATGATTAAACCAAGGTTACCAGCTGTCTACCATCCTCTCCTGGCAATGCCCCCAAAACCGACTGCACTGCTGGAAAAACTAAAGCCCTGTGAATATTTTCTGGATGCACTTCAAATTACTTTTAATAGTTTCTAGTTTTGGTTTGAAAGTACATTACTTTTTGTGCTGTGAGTAGTATTCTTCTTGAAATTGTGCAGGCAAATATACAAAAAAAGTCCTCAATTTGTTTGTTGTACATTTCTTACAATATATAGATCAACTTCTATTACTGATCAGTGAAGCATATTTGAGTAATTTTACATGATAATAATGTTAACCTTTTCTGCTTGGTATTATTCTGTAACAACAGACTTGCTAACTGTGGACTAACAGAGATCAGTTGTGATTCTCTGGTCTCAGCGCTGAAGTCTAACCCCTCCCACCTGAGAGAACTGGACCTGAGCAGAAACAACCTGTATGATGTAGGAGTGGCAGGACTTTCTGCTGGATTACAGAGTCCTGACTGGAGACTAGAGACTTTGAGGTCTGAAACAATATTTAGATATTTTTTTAATGATATGCATGAAATAATTTTATTTGATTTCTAAAATGGTAATTAAGAGGTACTGTATACCCAAAACCAAAAGCCTGGAATTTGATGCACATGCTGGCAAAAGTTTGTGTCTTTTTGGAAGACTCTATCATATGAATGTATTAGTTGACAATAGCTGGTTGGCTTTAAAATGTAAAGTATTATTCACAGTTTCTTCAAATTGCCCAAAAGCATCAAACAAGAAGAAAGGTGGAAAAAAGCAAGATTTAACCTTAACATAAATAAATAAACAAACAAATAATAATAAACACATGCAAGGGTGAGTCCAGAAGAAACACCCAGTGTAGCATGGAAATCCTCCAGCAGCCTACACCTATTGCAGCATAACTAATGGAGGATTCAGGGTCACCTGATCCAGCTCTAACTATATGCTTTAGCAAAAGGAAAACAAAGGAAATTTTGAAGCCTAATCTTAAAAGTAGAGATAGTGTCTGTCTCCTGAATCCAAACTGGAAGCTGGTTCCACAGAAGAGGGGCCTGAAAACTGAAGGCTCTGCCTCCCATTCTACTTTTAAATACTTTATGAACAACAAGTAAGCCTGCAGTGTGAGAGCGGAGTGCTCTAATAGGTTGATATGGTAATATAAGGTCATTAAGATAAAATAAGGGGCCTGTTAAGAAAGCAGTCCTAAATATTTGTTTAGTATGTGCGTTGAAGGACATATCCTGGTCAAAAATGAATCCAAGGTTCCTCATAGCATTACTGGAGGCACAGATAATGCCATCCAGAGTAAGACTCTAGTTAGATACCATATTTCTAAGATTTTCAGTTTTGGTATGTTTTCATGTGTGAATTGGATGCGTTGTTATCGATATCTGGTGAGATTTCATGTCAAAAGAACCTTTTTGAAAAATATTTACTTAGAAAAATTTGTTGTTGTGTTTTTGATATTTTTTCCTTTTTTTTCTTTTATAAACTCAGACTAAGGTCCTGCAGTTTGTCAGAGATCAGCTGTGTTCATTTAGGTTCAGCTCTGAAGTACAATTTGTGCTGTCTGAAAGAGTTGGACCTGAGTCAAAACGAGCTACAGGAATCAGGAGTGGAGCAGCTTTCAGCTGGACTAGAAAGTCCAAAATGTAGACTGGAAACCTTGAGGTCTGTGTTTGACAGTGTCACATATCTATAATCTCATCCAAAGTAATCTAGATTTAATTTCCTTTATAGTAACCTTTATTCAATAATTCTAAATGTAAAGAATTAATAATAATTCTTCAAATTGTTCTGCAGTGACTTGTCTATTCTCAGACTCACCAGACAATTAAAAAAGTCAGGACTACTGCCAGTAACATTACATGACGAGCAAAATTTTGTGACTGAATTGTAAATAAATGTACTGTAATTTCAGACTTACTCACTGTGAACTACCAGGAAGCTGCTGTACATTTCTGGGCTCAGTTCTGAAGTCAGTCTCTTCCTGTCTGACAGAGCTAGACTTGAGCCACAACAAATTGCATGACTCAGGAGTAAAACTTCTGTCTGCTGGGCTGGAGAATCGAAATTGTAGCCTGACGACTTTAAGGTAAAAAAATCAAATTTCTCCTTTTGCAGAGTCTGAATCCCAGGAATAATTATTACACACACACACACACACACACACATATATCACTTACTGCTGCGCAATCCATTACAATGGTCCCTCATTTATCCCGGGAGTTACATTCTAAAAATAGCCTGCAAAGTAGTCAGCTTTATTTCTTACAATTATTATAGATGCTGTAATGCTGTAAAATCCCTACACATTTCTCAGACAGGCATGACCATTTTCACACTTTTCTCTCTTGTTTAAACATTCTCAAAGTTCAAACCTTCGTAGAAGAATAGGTCCAGTATTATGGAATTAAACAAAAGCTCAATCCCTGTTTTCATTTCCAGAACATGGGAAGAGTGTAGCTGAGAGAGAATTCAATATTAATGAATCAATGGTAGGGAAGTAGAGGAAGCAAGAAGAATGAATTGAGTAAAGTTTGACTTCTCTGACTGTTTTTGTTTCGTCTTATACTCCACTGTGCCTTATAGTCTGAAAAATACGGTAACTTCTACCTTCCCTTAACATGTCCAGAAGTCCTACTTTTTGTTCGATGGTTATCATCTTCCTCTGCCTTTTGGGTGCTACCACAGGTGCCTTTGATGGTGCACAATGTTTCGTCGGCATTGTTGTGTTTGTTGGAGAGAAAACCTACAAATATATAGTACGGTACTTCAGTAGCGATCAAAGATTTATGTAACTTTGACAAGCATAACGCATTCTGTATTGTACAGGAGACGCGGAATGAGATTGATTGACAGTGATCTACAGCCTATCACGTCGCAGAACACAATGCGCTGTTTAAAAAAAAAAGTATGCAAAATTGCACAAAAAATCCGCGAAAGAGTGAGGGCATGAAAGGTGAACTGCGCTTTATTGTATATTTTTTTTTATATTTCCATAGGCTGAAGGACTGTCTGATTATGGAAAATGGCTGTGCTTCTTTGGCTTCAGCTCTAAAGTCGAATCCCACCTATCTGAGAGAGCTAGACCTGAGTCACAACAAACTACAAGATTCAGGAGTAAAGCTTCTGTCGATTGGATTGTCGACTCAAAACTTTAGACTTAAGACTCTAAGGTATAATATCTATTTTCCCTATGTGGAGACTATAAAAAACAGCAGTCACTGTTAAATAAAAATCTTTCCTTCTACAGGATAAAGGACTGTCAGATTACAGATAAAGGCTGCGATTATCTGTCCTTAGCTCTTAACTCGACCCAATGTCCCCTAAGAGTGCTTGACCTGAGTTTGAACAAGTTAAAGAAAACTGATGAAGAACTGAAGCTGATGTTTTGGTCTCTGAAGGCACTTCATTAAAGACTCTGGTCAGGTCAGTAAAGTAATAGACTTGCCTATTTTGGACAGATTTCAAAACTAGCCACCAACAGAAAGTCGTTTGTCAAATGTTTATTTTGAATAATTTCTGAGTTGACCCAAAAGTAATTTGTTGTTTTGATCCATGCAGGTTTACATGAACCTGGAGTATGGAGGAGGAGACATCCTTCATTAAGCTGCCTATCACCACCCTGAGTTCATATTCAAACATCCTAGAATTACTTATTATTTTATTTTGTCTTCCTTCCCTTAGATAGTCATTTGATGTCTTTATTTAAATTTATATAAAGGCTTTCATTTGATTCAGTGAACTACAGTCGTAAGGTCTATAAGAAGATGTGAATGCACCATTATGGGAAATCCCTACCGTGACCAACTACACCCTACACCTTGTTGGCAGGGATCACTACTATGCTTGGCTACAAGATAAAAAGCAGTACTTTTAATGGAGAATGAAACTAGAGGCCAAGATCAATGTAGCATGGAGGGCAGTTAGCCAACTATCAGAGCTGCACAAAGATGTGATGTAAAAAGGAATGCTAGGTACAGCAAGCTGCCAATACCTGAGGCCTTAGAAACTGCCAAGCAAAGACTCATTCACTTGAAATGGTAAACCAGAGAGATAGAAGCCATTATAACAAACAAGATGTTCTCCACTGAACCATCCAAGGTGTACTCTCAGTGTCAGATGAACAATATGAGAAAAGCCCCACCAAGGCTGGAGACAGAACAATACTGGAAGACCTAATGGGAGAAGGATGCAACCTGTGGCTAGTAGAGCTGGGAGAAGATTACAGCAAGGTCCCTGAACAGGATCCAGTAACATCACAGTTGTAGACATCCAACACAGAGTAGCTGCTAATGGTTAAACGCAACCATAAAAGCTAATCGAACAGTGGGCAGTCCTGATCCCCAAGGGTCCTCAGAAGGGATCTGTCCAATCCAACTACCAGCCAATAACCTGCCTCAGATTTTCAGTACCACATGGAAGCTCCTGTCGGGCATCATAGTGGCTAAGATGAACAGGCATATGGCTCAATAAAGGCAGAGATAGAAATTAGCAGAAACACCGGAGTGGAAAACTCAACACCATGCAGATCGATAGTGGAATGCGTAGAACTATACAACATCAACAGGACCCTAAGAGCTTTCATCAGGAATTCAGTGGTAATGTTGTTAACAACAATGCAGAACAACTTCAAGCCGATTACACAGGTCACCATCAAGTGCATGATTTACCAAGGCAATTTAAATGTTATCTGGAAATTACTAGACAAGAGAGGGTTTTCAAGAAAAATTCTTAAATGTTCATTTTCTATGCCATATGTTAAAACAAGATCTAGAGTGTGATTAAAGTGGTGGGTGGGTGTCATTTTTAGCGTCTACATGGATGTTAAAAGTATTCGGCCACCTTGAACTTTTCCACATTTTGTCACATTACAGCCACAAAGATGAATCAATTTTATTGGAATTCAATGTGAAAGACCAATACAAAGTGGTGTACAGGTGAGAAGTGGAATGAAAATCATACATGATTCCAAACATTTTTTATAAATAAATAACTGCAAAGTAAAATGGTAAATGGCCTGCATTTGTATAGCGCTTTTCTAGTCCCTAAGGACCCCAAAGCGCTTCACACTACATTCAGTCATTCACCCATTCACACACTGGCGATGGCAAGCTACATTGTAGCCACAGCTGCCCTGGGG